TGCAAGACAACCACATTCCAAAAGTCCTATTTAAATAGATGTACCAGAATGTGGAATGTACTGCCAAAGAACTTGACAGGCAATAACACCAGCCTTAGTCAGTTAAAAAATGGACTTTTCATGTACTATAAAGTAGCATTACAAACTGTCTACGACGTGGATGATCCAAGAACATGGAAATCAATATGTTTGTCCTGTAACAAGTCCCGTAATCTGTCCTGTGAAGTATCGTGTTGTTATTAGACAATAGTTTAATGTTTGTGATGTCGTATCTTATATGTAAGGGCCGCTGTAATTGGCGTAAGCTGTAGCGTGTTCCCTGCCATTGTCCATATATGTTTTTTCTGTGTTTTAATGTTTATTGGCAAAGTTAAATAAATAAATAAATAAATATATTTACGCACACCAGTGTCATGTTTAGATGTTAAGTATATATACTCTCGCTTTTTCTCCTTCTTTTCTTCTATTATATAGTTTGAAAACAAGCAGTAAGACTCCCAATTTTAGATATTGTAAAACAAACAATGACTTTGGAAAGCCAACAAGTATACAAAATAGACAACAAGACGCCGAAAGTCGAAAAAAATTGTTCGCTCGCGTTAATCGCTTTGATCAGCCAATCAAAACTTGGAACAAAATGTTCTTAAAATTGTTTTGAACAAAAGTGCAAGGTCGAGGAACAAATTTCAAACAGTATAAAACTGAATCAACTGACAAAAGCCAAATACAACTCACAGTTTTTGCTATTGCCTTCGACTCTTCGCATAAAGAAGCCAAAAATCTTTAAAGAAATATCCGTAAGTGAATTTAAGTGAATAAGAAACTCAGCACAATGTGAAAATGAAAAGTTTGATATAGATTTGCAGCAACAAATGGACGAGCAAACTCCAAATAAAAACAACAACAAACTTTATTGCAAAAGCTTAGTGGAATTCACAAGTTAGATAAAGCTTCAAAAGTTTACAAAGGCCTACAATCCTGGCAAAAATTATTGTGGACACTGCGTGCATCAAACAAAAATAGAAGTATTTCTACAGAGTTAATCCCCAGAAAATTTCTCCCCCCTTCTACCCCCAATTCAATGTTGGTAACTGAAACTTTAAAATTTAAATGCGAGAAACAACATTGAATAGGCGGCAGGGGGCGACAAGTTTCATAAAAGAACGTCTCAATGTTAATATTAGCGTTAGAAAAGTTAGGTGTCCACATAATTTTTGCCAGGATTGTCTGAAAATAACCTAAAAAACAAATCCATAATTTTCACCTAAAGCAGGCCTTTTACTATACATTTTTGATGTTGCCATTGCTTTAGAATAACAAACAGATTGTTTAAACTAGTTTAAGTTTTTTTTAAAGCATATTTGTAATTTTGTGAGTGACGAGCTAATGGCAATGATATATGCTTTGCCGAGCTAATTATGCAGGCGCAGTAAGACGAGTTTTCAACAAAAGCGCTTTATGCGCATATGCAAATTCACATCAAATATAACAGACTATTGGGTTATTTTAGTATATACACATCCGAAGCGCTCACTATTTTCAGATTTTTTATAACAAACGCAGCCCAACAGCGACTGTATAGAGCGCCTTTAATCTAGCAGTGACGTCACACGGTTCACGGCTGTGTAGCGTAGTGATAAAAATATTTAAGCTGCGTATTCTTTACTCTACGCTACACAGCCGTGTACCGTGTGACGTCACTGGTATATTAAAGGCGCTCTACAGTCGCTGTTGGGCTGCGTTTGTTATAAAAAATCTGAAAATAGTGAGCGCTTCGGATGCGTATACACTAACATATCGCTATGGTCTGTTATATTTAGTGTGAATTTGGTTACGCTCACAACCGTGTACCGTATCAATTTACTAAACTTTCAAAATAACATTACTTACACATTTATACAGTTTTATACAGTTATATTGTATGAATACACAGGAATATGATGCTACGTGCTCCAAACGTACCCATTGCAAAATGTTGCAGGTTAACAAATGATCTGCATTTTGAAATGCATGTATTACCAACAATGCAAATCATTCACACTCAGGAACTAAACATAGATCTGCTTGGCTGTAAGTTATGAGGTAAACAAACCTCGCATTTTTTGGCTGGAAATTTTGCATTCAGATTTGACTAAGTACCAAGACATCGTCGTTCTCTACGATGTTCAATAATTTGTCATACGAAGATATTACTTTGCCTTTGTAGAGTTGCAGACTAAGTTGTAGTTGCATAAATCCAGATAATACGTAAAAAGCCACTTGACATGTAATTTGATAGGTGACACTTAAGATAGATCGGAAAGTAAAAAAATAAGTATAACCTGATTTACTAATTGTTTTCCCCTTTTGCTAAACAAACAAGCCTATTTTATCATTGGATCAAGCCTTAAATTCACGAAATCGGATGGTTTGGAATATGTGATAATTTCAGACAATCCTGGCAAAAATTATTGTGGACACCGCGTGCATCAAACAAAAATAGAAGTATTTCTACAGAGTTAATCCCCAGAAAATTTCTCCCCCCTCCTACCCCCAATTCAATGTTGGTAAATGAAACTTTAAAATTTAAATGCGAGAAACAACATTGAATAGGGGGCAGGGGGCGACAAGTTTCATAAAAGAATGTCTCAATGTTAATATTAGCGTTAGAAAAGTTAGGTGTCCACATTATTTTTGCCAGGATTGTAGCAACAGCTGACGTAGAGGTAGGAAATTTCAAGAAAATCCGGTTTTCTCCGGTTAAATTAAAGGTTATTAACCTTGTTTTGCTCGGTCTGTACGGGAAAGTATTTGCCTTCAGTTTATCCGCACAGACCTCGCTCCTTCGTCGCTCGTTCTGTACGAAAACCTCAGGCAAATACTATCCCGTACAAATCTCACTCTCGGTTAATAACCCTTAATATTCACCGAGACGAAGTCAAGGTGAATATTCACCATAATCACTGAGTCTCAGGCGATTGACCATTGCTCAAGTAGTCCCCCTTGCAGCTGCTCTTTGTGTTGTGATTTTAATCCTCCTTCCACATGAGCTCATGTGGAGGGTACATGATGACACAAATATTATTCAAAGAAGGGCTGTAAGAGAGACTATTGCACCGCATATTTAATACACAGAGTAATAATTTTTATAAGTAAACGCATGCTTTGAGGGAAATTAGTGATTAAATGTCCACACAAACCGAGGAGGTTTAGTAAAAGTCCAGAGGACATAGCCTGAGGAACTTTTACTAAACTAAAACTCCTGATGTTTGCAGGGTCATTTAATCACTAATTTCCCTCAAAGCAAGCGTTTAGTTTTATTTTGAGTTGAACAACGAAAGGCCTTGATCATTGCTGATCTGGTCCCGACGGTGCAATGGAACCGGAGCCTGTGAAATCGCCGCACCCAGGGGGTTGCTACACAGCAAGCAAACCAACAGAGAGTACGACCCTCTCCCTGTGTCATGAGACAAACATGAATGGCCTGAACAATCGGATGCTGAGCATCGTCATGCCCAGGGATCCCTAATCCTATGATAGTGGATGGACGGGAATGATGTTAACTGAGTTTGAATCATCATGAACAATCCGCCGAGTCTACCAGATACCTGTGCAACCTATCCAAACAAAAGTCCGAACAAACCACAGGCCAACATTAATTCAAAAAGGAGGCCACAGCAGTACACCAATAAAGGAGACCACTGCACCTTTAAAACACAAACAACACAAAAAACAAAACAAAACGACATTACAAGCCACATGACATATTTACAAAATAACACAATAAAAACATCATAAACAACAGCCAAAAAGGCCGAAGTTTGAAAACATTGACAGACAAGAGTACTAACACAACTCAAAGGACAACGAAGACAACACCAATGAAGGCGATCCCGTGCCCAGAGAGATACCAACACATCTCAAAAGTCAACAGCAGTAGCAACCAATGAAGGCGACCACCACGCCTCCGAGAAACATTTAGACACATTAATTGTGAAACTCCGCCGCAAAAACAACAATGTCCCCAGCAGACAAACTGCCAACACCACCACTCGCCAACCAGAAATCGGATAAATTGGCCAGCAAACAATGATGCTGCTGAACACGGATCACACACCGTAAGGCAGACTCGACATGCGATAGGACCCTAGAGTAATGCAGTATCACCTTATCAAACCTGGCTTTATTCCTGGTTAACCAAATGTGGTGGCGAATAATTCCCAACAAACATGGAAATACGGGAGGTACCTTTAGATTCTTGCCATAACCAACAAGAAGATCACATTTAGAAGGACGTTAGGACTGTGGTCGGAAACGTTTATAGACAGAAAAATACCAATCAATAAGTTGAATAGCAAATGAACAGTCAGTAAAAAGGTGGATGAGGGACTCTGTTTGGCCACAGTGACACAACGGGTCAACATGCATTCCAAAGCGCAGCAAACGATTGGCGGTGAGAAGAATACCATGCGCAATCAGCCAGGAAGTATCCCAAATAGGTCTTATGAAAAACGCCAGAGAAGAAGGGACAACCAAACATTTGACCAATCGACTGGAAGACCCCAATTCGCATACTTTTCAATGCATCAATGTTGCTTACGATGTTGGTGAGACAGGGTGTCATAGACAAAACTTGCCGAGAGCTGTTCAAGTGTGACCACAGATTTCCAAGGACCGCAAATGACGTATTCATTGTCCACAAACTTCATTCCACAGCAAACCAAGCCATCATCACAGATCGATGACTATTTTGGGGATGTGGAGCCTTTCATCAGAGGAATTGAAGATCTTGCTCCTGCATTACGTGCTCATTTGCTGGAAATTTTCGACAGTCCTGAAGATGTTGCGGATTTAAAGCTTGAAATTGCAGCTCTAATTGATGGTGGAAGAAGCTTTGTTACAACAACATACAATCTCGAAGGGGATGGTCCTTTGATATTTACCTGCTATCAGCACTTGACAGCTTTGGTTCAAACAGTGCAATTGGGCGCTTCTCCCAGTTGTAGTATAGCTTGCGTGGCAGGCCCTCAAATTTATGGGGGGCCTGATTTGCAGCGGGCAGGATTTTGGCGGGCTCCGGGGGAGGATTAAGGGCCTGCAGGAAAGCCCCGCCTTTCATGACTACACGCCCAGTCATAACATAATTAATTGTTTCTAAAAATATTCGCTTGCACGTAAACATGTCAATCAAACAATATTGCGAATTAAACTCAATACCGCTCAAAACTATAATACAATTTAATACAATATTGCAGATTTTGTAAATGTTGTTTTAAATTAAACAGCAATTTGGCAATTTTAGTAAAATTGTTCATGATCCATCACAAAAAACCATCAGAAAGAAATTGTGCTCTCAGATTTAATATATGTGAGAAAGTAGGCTTTTGTTAATACACTACAGTACTACACGAGAAGTTTCAACACCATTACCAGCCCAAAGATGTAGAAATGTCAGAAAAGCGTAAACTGTTAATTCCTGACACGCTGACCGTGGCGCTAGTCCATTCAACCAAACTGAATCAAATCGCGTTTGTTCTCCGCGATGTTTTCCGGGTAGTATGTCTATAACTGAATCGAAATCTGCACGTAAAAGTACAGTGCTTGTTCAGCAGCAATACAAAAGATGATCTCACTGGCCAGTCATCAAGAAATAGCAAAGGTACTTCAGACAACGTGGATGTAAATACTGATTCCGACGATGTACCGAAGTAAGCTCAACATCGACGGTTTGAAAACGTGTGAAGGGCGTTCGTCACTTAAATTAACTGTGCTTAAATCACTAAAAGTGCTTTTAGGTCATCCGAATGGGAATATTGTGACTCAAAACCCGACAAACAAAAAGTGGCTGGACCATAGTGATGAACGCCCTTCGCATGTTTTCAAACTGTCGATGTTGAGCTTAATACTTTTATATAGTACATCATCAGAATCAGTATTTACAATTTTACATCCATGCACGTTAATTGTTTGCAATTATCCTGTGCTATTTCCTGATGACTGGCCAGTGAGATCATCTTTTGTATTGCTGCTGAATAAGAAAAAATAGCCACCATCGATGTTCAAGATAGATCGAGGATTAGATAACAACAATATTGAAATCAACAAATACTACGGTTTTCCACTGACTTGGTATTGACCAATCAGGTGATTGCATTCACTGTCCAGAATCTGAACGGCGTGTAGTCATGAAAGGTGGGCTTTCCTGCAGGCCCTTAATCCTCTCCCGGAGCCCGCCAAAATCCTGCCCGCTGCAAATCAGGCCCCCCATAAATTTGAGGGCCTGCCATGCAGGCTAGTTGTAGTACTGCACTGTCACGTGAAAGAGCAAATGGCAACCAGGTTATTTTCAACCAACTGCTTGAAAGAGTGAAGTCTTGCATCAAACCTGGCTTCCAATACTACTTGAACAAAGTCAACATTGAGTTCTATGATATTATGCGAGCATTTCGAGGTGCATGCTTGTGCTGTCCAGTACAAGTTCATCGACTCCAACCTACCATAGGGTCTTTAGAACTACTTCGTAAATTTCCATTCTTGGATGATGCAATTATTAAGTCAAGAACTTCCAAATTACCTGGCTCTATCAGATGGTGTTCAAGTACAAACAGAAGATGACAAAGTAAAGTGGTGGGCAAGGAATGCAAGCACTCTTCCGAAATGGGCAGCTGTTGTTAGAAAAATCTTCTCGTTCACCCAAGTTCTGGTGCTGCTGAGAGAGTCTTTAGCCTTTTGAACAGTACCTTTTCAAAAGGCCAGGAAACTGCTTTAGAAGAAATAGTCGAAGCGTCAATCATGTTGAAGTACAATTCTACTCAGAGGGAAAAAGCTCAGTAACGGTTTTAAATTGTGTAAAGAACATTCTAATAACCAAGTGCTTTGAGAGTTGTCAACTTCATTGCAGCTTAAAACAAACAACAGGGACTCGAAAAACTTCCTTGCTTCTTGTCTCTTGTATTCTCGTTGGTAAATAGTTTTGAGTGTATGCCATTCACTCTTGATTTCTTCTTCAGTTCGTTTTTCAAAACTTTACTTCAAAGGTGGCGCTGCCAGATTTCTTGCAGTGAGGATGAGCTGGCAGAAGCCCCCCTTCCACCCATACAGAAAAGAAAATCAAGCGAAGCAAACGAAGGCTGAACTGTACAAGACTTGCACCGAGTCATTGAAATCGAGCCAGGAGGAGAAGTTAACAAAGATGAAACATTTGGTAAAACCGTAGCAGACAATCTTTATCCATTTACAAGCTTTTGCATCTGCACTGTAGTTGTTGCTGCAAACAGGTTTGTAAGGAAGCCAGGAAGATGGCGAAGCCTCAGTATGTCACAAGCCAGGAGATACAATCCCAGTCGCCTTGTCATCAACATCAACAAGATTACCTGGGATGTAGGGCACCACACTTTCTGGACTGGGCATCAGGAAATTGTGCAAAGTAATAATAGTCGATGTCAGCTGTTTCACTTTTTCAGGAGATAGAATAGCTGACCTCAGAATGTGCCAACCACAACTTACTCAGTGACATGTACACAACTTCGATAGAGTCATAATTTACATAAAAAAACCCAAAAAGAATTAACGAAAGCCTTTTGAACCAATTTATATACGCTACAAAATTAAAAATAAAATGCTGGTATATTTTTATAAAATATTAGAAACACATGAAAACATCCCCTCTGCTGTCTTCGTGCAATCCAAGGCCTTACCAGACTTTCTTTGAACACTTCTTTTTCTGGTTTTCATCTAACTCTAAAAACTCTTGCAATAAAACCAAAGCAGCCACTGCTTTCTTTTTCTTCATGGTCGCCATGTTTACATTATCACTGTCACAAGATGACATAAGATTGTTACTCCAATACTCAAGTGAGTTGCAAACTGATAAACAAATGTGACATGTGTGACATGTTTGCATGCAACTCAAAATTTACGTGTAACAAAAGCTTTAGAATATAATATAAAAAGTTGCCAGATAAATGGTAGTATATGTAGGAACACATTGATAGTTTAGGAACAAGCATGTCATCTTGGCACGGTAGTATGTGATATGATTGCGATGAGACAATTCCTGCTGAGCAGACGATTGAGCATAATAGCATTTGTCGGGGAGGATGTTCTGGTATTGTGACAACAAGGGGCGCTTTCCATTTCAGTGATGGAAATTTCGGAAATCTTGCTTGAAAATCAAATGGAACATGTTACTTTCTGGAATGCTGTTTCAAAAATTCTGGACAATCTCTTGAGGTTGTCCACAAATTGGAAATTCCGGAAGTTTCGAAATTTTTTCATTCCATTAAAAGATTTCCCAACCAACGTTGCTGCTTTCCAAAAGTTTTTTGAGCAAAAACCAACACCAGAATGGCGTGTTCTCGACCATTTCAGTGCCTTGAGTCTGGATTTATTTCGGCGAATATTGAAAGAAGAGATTTGAGCGGCAGTGTCAAACTCTTCGAAATTAAAGAAACATCATTCTAGAAAGTAACGTGTTCCATTTGATTTTCAAGCAAGATTTCCGGAATTTCCGTCAAATGGAAAGCACCCAACAAGCCTTCCATTATTTACAAGGCATGTCACACTGTAGCAATTATCACATGTGTAAAAATTATTTAAGAAGGAAGCAAGAGAAAGGTGATCCGGTTGTTATGGATTTTTCTCCTCAATCTCAGGACCTAAATCCTATTGAGAATTTATGCGATCATTTGAAATGAGAGAAACTGAAACATGACCCCCACAGTAAATTTTAAGATAACCTGTGGGATGTCTTTAATCAATGGTGGAATAACCTTAAAGTGCATATGTTACAATTACCATTTTTTTCTCAAAAACCGGCTGTGACGAGACAATTCAAATGATATATGTCTCCAACATGTCTGCAACAGATAACTACTTCCAGAGATATTTTAGCTCAAACATGGCAAAAGATAGAGTTTCTTAAAATGTGGCTGGGAGAAAAGAGTCTGTCAGAGTACGAATCGCCGCTACGACGTCAAATAACTAACCAAAATTTTTCATGACATGTGTTTATAGCAAGACAAAATGCCTTCTCGCTGCGTTGTATACAGGGTCTTAGCTAGAGGGCCATGTTGGCCGTGTTATCACGGCCAAAAATGGAAAAACACGGCTAGATAAAATGAATGCGGCTGCGATCATTATTTATATAAGGCCGTGTATGTTCATAAAATAAGATGGTGCTACTTACAACAGACAGAATTTCTTTCTATTTACGTCATAAGAAAGTTTGTAAAATCTGTTGTTGTTGAAATTGGCAAACGTGATCCGTGATGTTTTAATGTTTTGATGGATAATGGGAACTGTATGGTGTTAAAAATCAGGTTTTAAATACCCCCAAGAGTTGCTGAAATAACTTAATATTTTAATGTCAGTGCGCAATATGAGTATATGCTTGCCTTGTATTTGGTTGCAAAGCATAGAACAACCATAGGCATTGTCCGTTGTATAGAACCGTGAATTTGGCTATCCAAGGTAATTGACATGTGCACACCCTGGTAATTTAGAAACACGTCCAAGATCTAAAATGCTAGCTAAGACCCTGGTTGTATATGGCTGTTCCAACCTTCCAGATCCTGCGAACGGTATTAGTCCTCAAAAGATACCTTTCTATAATGATTCAAGGCCAGAGGCTATAAAGAGATGAAAGGTCTGGGTAGATTTCATGAAGAGCAAACGTGCGAAGTGGGAGCCAGGCAGTGGAAGCCATGTATGCTCTAAGCATTTTAAAGTGGATGCTTTTGACAAAATATTGAATTTGCCCGGACAAGAGAATACGTATCGACAAAAGCTAAAGAAGGATGACCTAGGAATTGCATCGTTTCCATCTATATTTTGTACGGATGAGACGGAAAAACAGCTTTCAGGCAGAGCAGCCAGAGCAATCAAATGCAAGGTGAGTAAATATTTATAAAACCCATTTATCAATGAACTCTTTGTTTGTATTTTTACTTCACGCCCTTCAATAACTTATTCTCTTATAATATTTTCAGTATGCAGCTGGAAATGAACCAAGCAGTCCTCAAGAACCAGGATGTTCATCAGACTGTGTTGAACCTGAAGCAGAAATGGACTTAGCTATAGAAATACCGAATATCAATATCGAGCGTCATGTAAGTAGCAAAATAGCATTATTTCACGTTGTGGTGACTTCAATATGTATTCATGTTGAAGACTATATTTGACTATTTATAATAAAAGTGGACTGTTTTAAACTAAGGTGCTACAAAATATTTTATCTGTATATTTCTAATTTTTTTATAACGATATTCTTTAGGAGCAGCCGGTTCATGAGGAATTCACACAGACACTTCAATGGCTGGTACGGATTGCAATTACTCTCTGGAATTACAAGAGAGGAACCGAATTCTTCGCAATCAAGTCATATGTTATTATTTGCGTGTGTGTCGATGACTTAGCATATTGCGGTAGGCAGACTCCCTTCTGTGTCGCCCATGCATCCTTGACATAGTTTATGTAAATTGTGTAGTCATTGTAAACGCCCTATTTATTTAGACTATAAATATATAGAGGTTGTCCTTAATAAAGCAGATTCTGAGTGTGTTGAAGTGATATGATTATTGGGATCCCGGGACGCTACAAATCTGGTTGCAGCGGTAAAACTAAAATTAAAGCAATATGTCTTTCAAGTATTTTACCGGGAAGATTTGACAATGGTAATTTCGAGTGTTGGTTGCGCAAGTTTGATGCATGTTGTGACACAAACGGCTGGAAAGTAGCTGGGGAGTGTGACGATAAGATTTTTAAACTGCCAGCGTTCCTTCGGGGTAAAGCTGCCAGTCATTTTTATGCAATTCCAGCCAAATGACGTACAAAATACAAAGATGCCGTCGCTGAACTGAAGAAATCCTTATGTCCTGCTGCCCAACGTGAGATGCTTTACGCTTTATTCGAAAGTTGTGACCTTCGAACAGGTGAAGATCCAGGCGTCTACAAATGGGAGTTAGAAAATATCCTCGCGAAGGCTGATCCAGAGTTGTCATCACGTTTCTGTCACAGCTGATGTTCCTTTTTCAGTTTTGTCCATGCTGCAAAAGTGCCAATCCTCTAGTTGAGACTAGCCAACATGGGACAAAGGTTATTGTGTGTACTCACTGTGGTAATCCCAACTGCAAGCAAAGTGATTCTGTGTGGCACAGCCAACCTAATATGGAGGGTACCAAAATTGCAGCAAGGAACTTTCTGTTACGTTTTGCGACTTTAGTGGCATCAATCAGTAAAGTTAAAGGTGTCCTTAGGCATATGGGAGTGGCATGCATTTCACTAAGCACTTCTTCAGGCATCAGAAGGTGAGTTGGTCCTACAAACAGGGCTACATCCATTTATAACCCCGAATTGCACCCTCGTACAGAAAGATCTGTTATTCTGAACAGTGGTCTTAGTACTGCGACAATTGAACCTGAATGAGAATGTGAGTGACAACTGATGATTATGTGACAACTAATGGCCAGGCCAATGTTGCTTTTAGTGTGCCATATTGGCTAATTACTATGTTATATCAGGGCTTAAAATCTGAATTTTCCATCAGTATCCAATGG